TACATACACCCACACGCACGAACACGCCAACACTTTCTCGCACACATACACATCACACATCACGGCGACCTCGCATCCACACAGACGCGCGAGTAGCTACGCGCGAGAGCACGGAGATTGCTCCGGGGCTTTCGGGGTTGAGCATATTGAATAACTCGCTCGCTGGACCGCGAAAATATACCGCGAGGCAGGCAGTATGCGGATCGACGTTTCTGAAAGGACCTTCCAGGATCCTCGGGGCGGGCGCTGTATCCTGTCTACGTGTGTACCCTAACCCAACCCGGGTCAGGGCGACATTGACGACGACGATGACGACGACGACGACGCGACGCGACGCGACGCGACGCGGTAGACTCGCTCTCTGGCATTACCCCCCCGTGTGTCAGAACTGAAAATGCACCACGAAGGAAATTTCGTTACGATGGGAGCTGCGACGTTCTTCGCGGGCGCCGACACGTGACGAAAATGAAACATTTCGGACGAACACCCGAGGACACGCTCTTGTATACCTTTAGATCGTGTTCCTCGAGACGTCTCAAAGAAACGACGGCTAGAGGATGGTAATAATTCTAGAAGCATGCCTACACTGCAGATTACATTGACGAGAAAGCGATAATATAAATTTCGATATAATCTTCGAAAAGCGTGGAAAATACATACGTGATTACTGATTTTTCGATCAGAAATATGAAAACGGCTGTGTGGAAATCACGTGAAATTTTTAGCACGGAATGTACTTATTCACCGGGATTTTACAGTCTGATCGTTGGCGGATTTTATCAATCGGGAATTAAGCTCTTTACAATGCACGGCGTGTACCTTGCTCGGTCTCGTGTTGTTGTGCAGAATTCATAATTCGCAAATAAAAAGGGAATTGCCTAAAAGAGCGGAAAGTACGGCTGATAGATGGAAAAATGATAAAAAAGGGCCGCTATTTTTTTGTGGATTACATTATTCAGCGTTTCGGAACTAACAACAATTGTAACAAACTGCGTTATCCAGTGATGCAAAATATCTCTTATGAATTTTTTAATGGTGTGTTTTTTTTTCCACGTCGCGGCTAATGAACATTACCTGTACTCGGTGACCGAGTTATTAAATATTGAACGCACGTAACAAAAAGCGCAAAAAAGCCATTTCGATATAAATAGGAATTGGACGTGCGGAAAAATTACAGAGAAAATGTTCATATAATTTCGGCTAATTGAATAAAATACACAATTTTACATCTACAAATTATCTAAAATAAAAATTATCAAAGCTAAATTTTTTCATTATTAACATCAGCATATAGAGAGATGCAAATATTAAAAATGAATAACTGTTTTTTTTTTCGCATGTGTAATTATATATGTTTATAATAGTTTTACATGAACATGATATATAATTAACAATCAGTAATTGCAGTTCGGAGTAAAATAATATTAGCGATTATTGTGTAGCAATGGCAATTTCCATTTCTCAAAACTATACAAAACAAAACTTATTGCGCGCGAATTCCACTAACGTCAAATTCCATACACCGGTCGATGTCTTTGAAAGGACTTGCCGGGTCCTCGGGAAGCTTTCTATCTCCCTACGTCTATCTAGGATGTACATACACAAGCGAGGACTTCGCCCTGGGATTCGAAGGATTACGTGCAGGAAAATGTGGCTCGGGGCCAGACACGGAATGTCATTACGTTGGGTAACGATAGGTACATTGCAGCTATTGTTGGATAGCTTCAGTTGAATATAGAACTCGCAGGATTGTGGTAAAATAAATCTCACGTGTCTCTAAAACGTATATAAAAATATATTTATTTTTCTTTCTCTCTCTCTTTTTTCTCTCTCTCTCTCTCTCAGATTCTAATAATAATTTTCTAATTATTCGTCCTCCAATAACGTGTTCGAACAATTATAAATAATTGATATTTCGTAATTATTTAATATGCGTTTAAACATTCCTCTCAGTAATTATTTCATATTTGCATAATATTGTTTTCCAATTACGTTTCCACATACGTGTAAAACACGCGTTTCACGAGCGACATTTCTACCGCAATTCATCATCATTTCCAAGAAATTCTAACAAACCCGATCTTATCGTTCGACTGTATAATGCAAAAGAATTATGCAATATTATGTTCCGCGTAATAAATCTTATATGTTATATATATAATTTTTTCCACGTCGGGAAAGCAATCATCATACATGAGATTTGTTTCATCGTCAATAACGCAATTCTTATCGGCAATTATATATGTGCATAGCGATGTAGAGTATAAACATTTTCTTGTATTTTTAATGAACGCGTGAGCCGTCATACGTGCTTTACGGTCAACACGGAGCTGCGAAGCTACAATCTTCACTCACTGCGCGAACTCATCAAGATCAATTAGAGCAGCATAGTTGAGCCATCGTCGGGACCGTTAACGATATATCAATTACAGCGTTAGACGTAGGTAATAACTATTAATAACTTCATTCAGAGCGCAATAATAAACACACGACATGTCCGCGCGGCGCACACGAGGAGACAGATCTAGGTCGATGCGACTTTTCGTGAAAGAATGGATTGGTTATATCGCACGCGGGTTATCGTAGGCATTCGTCCAGATTTATGTGATTGAAATAATGTATCAATACGCGGAGCGCAATAATTAGCATTTTCATCGACCACCGGACGCTGTTGCGTGTCAAGACTCTCTGTGTTGTGTTATCGACATCAAGAAACTAGATGCACGCACACACTCGCGCAACGTGACAACTCGAGAACATATTTCTTAACACGTTCCCGGTGATCGTACGGCACGAATTAATTTTCTCGCACACAGATAACTAAATGCTAATTATTTTTAACTGTAGACTGAGAATTTTCACACGTGTTAAAGTGTTCGTTATACACGTCAGTCAGATTTTATATTGTTTTACACAATAGCAATAACATAAGTCTTTTAAAATCTTGAAAGGTTTTATTATAGATTGAATTAAATCAACGGATGTATGTACGGATGTATGTACGTGTGTTTGTGTTTACGTGCGCGTTCACATTCGAGAATATTGCACGTTTTGCGAAATTGCGTGTTTGAGATGCGGCGGAATGTTCCAAAGCGGCAATAGTAAAAAAAGCTTTCCTAAGGATCTAGTCCAGGAACTCATAAATCAACTAAAGAACATCCGGCTGGTCACTCGAGCCTTTCAAACAAGAGGGATACACGCTTCGCGCAAAAATTCATCCCGGGTTCTCCTTTTATAACGTAAATAGCGATGGTATTTTTTCCCCGCCGATAAATAGTCGAACAACTCGGATCGTTACCTGTTCGTAACGAAAACTGACCGCCGGATCGAAATGCAGGGACAGGTGTTAACCTCCAGAGAGATACTTCCGGTTTCTTTACGATCTACGCCTCGTAGTCAATGATCCCCTAATAATAACCAACGGTGACTAATGGAGGGTAAAGGGATTTATCCCTTTCTTCTTTTTTTCGCACTCGATCAGTACCAGAAAGGTGTCAGTTTTCTCTCTCTTTTTTTTTTTTTTTTTTTTGGGATCAATAGCATTTTATTGCACGAAATTCCCGATCACGTCAGCGTCTTTTAAGTGGCCGACCGACGATTCATTAACAAACAGGAATATCAATGAAATGCAACGTTTGAATGAAAATACTACAAAAGTTCCGAACAACACAAAAAGTTGTTTTACTACAAAAAGACTCACTTATTTTGTAAACTCTTTTATTACAACACAGTATGCAATTCTGAGTACGACATGCAGGAACATTTATCTCTCGCGAGCCGCGTAAAATTAATCGGAAGAAACGCGATATTTTTTTTATTTGTCTACACAAAGACAAAGAGCAAAGATCTGAGATTGATTCAAATGCTATTTTAAAGCTAACCGAGAACTTCGACTATATCTACAAATGAAGGGATAGAGGGAGAGAGACAAAGAGAGATGAGAGAGAGAGAGAGAAAGAGAGAGAACGCGATGTCAAAACACAATTTGAAAGACGTAATTCGAAAATCGTCGTTCGCCCGACGGCAGCGACCCTCCGTTGGACGTCAAAATGAAATTACGCGACCCTCCACACGGGAACCTTGAGGCAGGCACAAAGGCTCGTTTGCCGAGGACGCAGTACAACAATCTGTCTAAAGGGACCTAAACCATTAATCGTTTCGCGATTAACTTCTATTAAACGCTACTTAATGAACAAAACTTTCCTTGTACGTCGTAACGCGTAGACGATCTCTAAGACGTTCTCTTTCTCGCATGTGAATTGAAAATTCTTCTCGATTTATCACGGACGGAGGAGTCTTTTTCGAGCCTGATACGTCACAAAATACGTGACGTTGATCGTTTTTGATAAGAACCGTGGTAATCGATATCGCGTTCCCACAGCTTGACGACCTAACGATATTTGTGCACGCACGGAATTTGACCACTGTGTGTAACATTAGAACTCAAAAAAAGGTCTTCCAGTAACTCAATATCAGAACGTGAGAATTGTTATTGTTATTCGCTACGTGTCAAACGTGAAATAGGAGAAAAGATCACCGTTTTTTACAAGATATACGGGATTGTTTTCAAGGTTCAAATGTGTGTAAAAATCGACAAATTTAATGTGATTCCTTTGCAAAAATTACATGTGTAAAATCTGTTCATTATCTTTTATTTGACAAATAAATAAGAAACATTGAACCATGGAAATAATCACGGTCATTGAATTACTAAAACGCAACAAATTCTACTTCCCAACGAATAAATATATTGGGTTACGTTAGTGAAAGATAAAAATAACACGCAATACTATAATTTTTGTTACTCTATAAAAGAAAAAGGCATTAAAATTTGAAATGTCGACATCTCGAACAAGTTGTTCGATAATTTTTTTTCTGTGACGGAAACGCACGTGATTGTTGTCGTTCGGGCGATGTTTTTTTTTTTTTTTAAAAGCAAATTACTCCTTGTGACTAGAAACCGAATCAAGAGGAAGAACGAAAATAGATTTATGACACACCTGTTTTTCGCTGCAGCAGCGCGATCCCTCTGTCGCCTATTCTTGAACCAATTTCCAACCTGCGTAGGTGTCAGTCCCGTTGCGGCGGCCAGCTCTCTTTTCTTGCCCGGATTCGGATACGGGTCCTGAAGATACCATTCTCTCAACAGCGACCTGGTCCTCTCTTTGAAGCAATGCGTCTTCTGCTCGCCGTCCCAGATTGTTCTTGGCAGCGGAAATTTCTTTCTAACACGATACTTGTCCACCGGACCCAACGGCCGACCGCGGAGCTTTTCGGCTTCCTGATAATGCGCCTCTAGCCACATGGCTTGCAGCTTACCGTGAGAATCCTTAGTGAACTTGTGCCTTTCGAGGATAGCGTAAAGCTCGCGATAATGTCCCGAATGAAACGCAACGATGGCACGCGCCCTGAGGACAGCCTCGCTCTGATTCAGTTCCTGAACGTTGGGATGCGCGACCGGAAGACTCCATAGAAACCTCGCTAATCTCTCAATGTCGCCGCTCTCCTCTAAGGTCTCGCAAACCGTGGCCACTTGGCTGACGGAGAAGGACAACGTGGGTAGCGCGAATATCGGAGCAGGCACGAGCGGACCGTTCGCGTTCGGCGGTGTGGTCCCAGCGGCGGACATCTTCCCGAAACAACGATCCTCGCAATCCACACCAATTCTGTCTCGGATCCTTGTACTTGTCGAGATGTCACCCGGGCTTTAAACACGGTTCAGGAGGCACGATGCTCCGATTTATGTTTGCTCTTGGATTTTCTCATGATTTGTCAGCGGCACGCGCGAAACGTTCCCTCATTACAAACTATTTGTTTAGCGTTCACTAGGGGGAGGGCAAGATAATCCACTTCACTCCATCAACACTATCCGAATTCGACAGTTCAAAACGATTCAGATGTTAGACGACACTTAATAGGACAATACTTGAGAGAGACTGAATTTCTTACAAGGAGGTAGAATTGTTCGAAGAATATATAACTGATTCTTTCTGCAGGTACTAAATTCTGAAAGCCCACAATGGTGAATCTTCTTCTCGTCGCGACACGTCACTATATAAATTATATTTGAAACAACTCCCGGGGCGACACGTGGTAACGTTGTGAATTCGGCGGTGGAATCACATCGGTAGTTCCGACGCCCGTCGACGATCGCTGTCAGGTGAGTCCGCGACGATCGTTCTCCAGGTCGCCCAGGGTTAACACCCACCAGACCCAAGCACGCTGACGCTCTTCCACGTCGTGGGGATATCACGCGAGGCCGCTGTTGCCTGGATCGTATCGGATAGCAAACTGGTTTCGTTTACAAGCCGGCATCTCGGCACCGGCCCTACCCAGCATGATACGTTTGTACGCGCCCGTTGCAACCGGGCTGTCTCGCTGGCGCTCTAGACCTACCTCTACCTCTGTCTCACCATCTCCACCACCTTCTGTGTTCACGGAGAGATACGATTGCGGAAAGGAGACAGAGACAGACGGTATCAGAGGGAGGGGGGAACCAGCGCACAGGCCACGCCTACGAAGTACACCGGGATTGGCCGGATCCCATCCACGTAGCCATGGTAACCTTTCTTCGTCCTTCCGTTAGGCAGCGTAGGGAGCTACGTTTGTGTCGGTTTAATTATCCCTTCCACGTGCTTAGCCGTGGCCGGTATACGAACCCCACTGTGAATACTCTTCCACCACCATTCCGTGTATGCCGGCACCTCTCACGCCCCCTCTCTGACGCGAGACGAAAAGGGTGCGAGAGACGAGGAGAGTGAGAACGATCGATGTACCCGGCAGAATGTGGGACGGAGAGGTAGCTGTTTCGCGCTCGTGGAGAGGGGGGTGAAAACGGCATGATCCTGCGAGCTGCCGTTCCTGCTGCCGTGACGCGCCACTGCTGTGTTGTTGCTTCTGTTACTGTGATCTCGCGACGAACTGTTTTCGACGTTAGACTCCGTACCCGGTGATAGTTGGATAAGATTGATAGGTTGCCAGCTACCACACTCAGACCGGGACGTTTACGTATTTTCCAACTTTCAGTTTATTTCTCAGTCTATGGCAAATCTTTTGAAGAATATATTGTCGTTTATATTCCTTTTAATTGTATCTATGTCTGATAATATTTCCTCTTTACCTCTTTTTTTATATATATATAACGATACTGATTTACTTTTATTAATTATTGCAAAATTAACAGATAAAGTTCACAGATATGATATATGCTTATAAGAAATAATCAGATTCTTATTAGGCATATTTTATATATTTTGTAAGAAAAAAATTTATGTACTTTCTATATTTTTGTTTTCAAAAATGATTTCGTAATCAAAGTGCGATTTTGTCGAGGCATCGGCCATATCGCTGAAAAGTAATACCGTTCAACTTCCGCATGTGTGGAAAGAAGCCGTATATACTTATAATCGAGTAGATCTCATACTTCAGAGACAGAGCGACGACAGAAGCAAGTGTATTGAAGATCCCGAAGACGCGCGACGGCGCCGAAGGCGTCTCCGTTTTATCGAACGCACAGCCACCGCAGAAGCTTTAGTCTGCGATAGATATTCTGATTTTATTCCACTTCGCCCGTCTCAGTGTGGCACAGTAAATCCAATTCTTCAGTTATGAAACCTATTCACAAATTTGACCAAATTTCTCACAATGTATACAGATTATTGCGTAAAAATATATAAAATATTAATAATGAAAAAAAAAAAGATCGTCATAATATAAATTACGCGTCTATTCGCATAATACTTATCCCTATCGATAGATTATGTTTCGGCGCGAAATAATCACGATCTGCGAATATGTGTGAGTATGTGTGTGTTTAACGTATCAGCCGACGAGCACAACCGTTAAATCTCTCGATCGATTCGAATAATGAAAAAGTAAACGTGGTTTCACCGCATAGCGGGATGATTCTTTCCGATTGCTCTCGTTTACGTTCGCTTGGCGGTCGTTCCGTTACACGACCGGCAATGGCAGCAATCGCGATTGGCCAGTGTTAAATCGGATTACGGGAGCGAGCGGGATTACCTCGAGTTTTTCGAAAGACACCATCATCCCCGTGGCGCGGGGTTCCATGTTTTCTTCCGGCACAATCCGCCATCCATCCGTCTATATCACGTCCATGTTATATTCAGTACGTGTATATACATTATCTGTATCGGATAGGCCTAAAACAAGATTTATCTATAAACAGTTATCTCAACAATCTTATTCCAACCACACGTTTGATGTAATCTATTCCTCTTGCAGAGAATTTTATTCGAGTTTTATTACATATTTAATTCGCCGATTTTCAAATAAAATCCACTATATTATGACATTTTTTAATAATGGCGCTTTTTATGTATTTTTTATGGGATTTATACAACTTTGTAGATGAATCTTTTTGAAAAAAATAAAGTTAAAGTGTACGCATATGTGAATGTGTGTATATGAGATGTTGGATATAATGAATATAGAAATAATTGCATATTTACTTGACGAAAAAGAATGATGTATTTTAAAATTTAAATATCCTTCAAAATTGTACATATCTCTTTCAACATTTTTATTTTTATTCATATAAACTTTGTGTGCCTGTTATATCCTTTTTTTTTTTTATAAAAAATAATATTTGTTACTTGCATCGTAAATTAAAATATATTCTGAACGTAGACGGAATGTCATTTTTCTTATTTCAGCATATGTCTATTTACGAACAAAACTGAAAATTTTATATACGCATATACGTGAATCACGTACACGGATTTTTTTCTGGGGGAATGGGGAATGTTGCTCTTCTATATTTAGAGAGTGCAGTTTATTTACACAGTCGTATAACTGCATATTGGTGGATCTATATCGCGAGTCATCAGCGCGGTGTCGCGGGTTAGCAGAGATTTTTGACAATATTCGGAAATGTTGAAAATTGAAATGCCGCCGCGAAAAATCAGGTATGATGTTTCGCAACGAAACGAAAACACATTTGGTCATCGTTTTGACACATCTCAATGTTCCAGAAAAATAAAAATAAAAATTTCTTGTTAATGTAGTATATTTTATGTTAAAATGTTTCTAAGAAATATATGATAGAAATATATATCTATATACGGTAGATATATTAAATGCGAGAAGAATACGCTGGCAGATGTTCGTGGTGACAAATACCTAACTGTTCGACTAAAATGGGACGTGATAGATAGTATGGGATGTAATTACCTGTCAAAGTGATGATTTTATTCTATCTCTACATCTTCTTTCACATAAAGACGCCTGGCACTTAAAATTTTTTCGATTTACCCATCACATAATCCTTCACTTTTCTGTACGCAATTATTGTGCTTCGCCATATCACTATGTATATATACATATATAATGGGTATATAATTAATAAAAAATAAAAATGTCAAATAGAGAATTAAAAAGATGTGTATATAAAAATCCGGGTAATTGCTGGGTGTCAAGGATCGTTAAACGGTGCATAATGCATATAAACGCGAAAGTGGTTGCGGAGCTGCTGCATAGCGGCAGTGACTCCGGCGCTTTAATGGTGTCACCGTCGGTCGTGTCTTTAACGATCTCTCGGTGTTCGCCCCCGGTGCGATTAATAAACGCGCAGTGGATAGATACCGAAGGTCGTGCATATATATATATATATAAATATACATATATATATATATATATATATATATATATATATATATATATTATATTTATATATATATACTTGTATTATATATACATATTCATATACACATTGCCTCCGGGATACACGAACGCGTCGATAATGGATTATGGTCGCGCGCGGATATAATAGAATATCGGGCGCGGAATAGCTCACAGATAAATGTCGCGATAACGACAGGTAGGCCGCGGGTATTACACCGCTCCATCATCCCACCCTCGATTACGCGGATCGATCTATCGCGTGCGGCGTCGTTTGTTTGCCGACCCGGAGGCTTCCCTGGGACAAATGATTCCGTCGCATGGCAGCCATTTTACTTTCTCGCCGCTCTCTTCCTGTCTCTTTCTCTTTCTCTCTCTCTCTCTCTCTCTTTTTTTTCTCTCCTACATCAGCGGGTGCAACATCGGTAGAATTGGTTTTCCTTGTTCACTTTTGCGGCCGCAACGATTTTCACGCCGGTTGTGTTTCGCGCAAGAAGTTCGTCGGTTTCTCTAAGCGGAAACATTTGTCGGTCTCTTACGACGCCGCGTAGAGTATGTCGTAGGTGGGATTATTGCGGCGAGACCGGGGCGAAGCTGCCACACCATTGAATTCCTCATCTGGCAGCGGCTATTACTTTCCGCGATGAGAACTGTCAAGAGGGAATCGTTACACGGGGTAGATTAATCGCTGCCAGGAAACCGAGGAGCGAGGCGCAAACCGTGTAGCTCCGCGATATATATGTGTGAACGTATAGGTATGTGTGCGCGGCGCGTATATGTACACGTTACTACGTGGCTTCACCATCGTCGCTGTGAACGATGCACCCAACCGATTACACACATCGCATCGACTGCATAGTGGAATATGCAACCAGTGTCGATATATTCGCGTGTTCTTAATTCTCGCGGCGGATTGGGAGCAATTAACTGTCACGTTACGTAAATAAGTTATGCGCTAATATAGAGATTGTAATAACATTTATTATTAACAAAAGAAGCTATATATATTAAGATGTGTTTTTTTTCGCGCTAACCCAGCAATCGCACGTTGTCTATCTTACGATCTGAGCTCGCGTCGACGCGCTGCGGACTCTTTATTCTGAAACACCGTTCGAACGGAGTATCTTTTTTTTCAAAAGATGTTTTCCAAAACATTCTGAATACATGTCAGTACAGAGGTCGATACACCTATTTGGAGAAACGCACATCGCGCAACTCGCTAACACGCTTTTGTCGCATGAAAGGACATAGAATCTCGAGTGTTAAATATGTTGTATCGCAGAATAATGGTATATATTCAAGAAACATCGTTACCAGACTATCGTTCGAGAGCAACGTTACAGCAAATTTTACATAAATAATAAGTCAATTTTTCCCCACGGCAATTACGTTATCGAATAATCAACGACTATTCCCTGTTACAAAAAAATCACAATTGCTCGTCGCTGAGAGACTTTGCGAGTGCAAACATTGTTTTGATAAATTAAACAAAATCTTGCAACTTACATATATATAATTCTTTTTGAGAAGCTTAGAGAAAGAGAGAGAGAGAGAGAGATAGATAGAAAGAGAGCAATATTTCTTTGATAAAATCTTTTTAAAGAACAACACAGAAAAAATACAAAGCGAGTTGATGTATCATTTGATCTTATTTGGAAAACAAACTGAATTGTACCAAC